TCCCCAGTGATGGTTTGTAAGCTCCATATCCCCAGTGATGACTTGTAAGCTCCATATCCCCAGTGATGGCTTGTAAGCTCTATATCCCCAGTGATGGCTTGTAAGCTCCTATCCCCAGTGATCCCCAGTGATGGCATATCCCCAGTGATGGTTTGTAAGCTCTATATCCCCAGTGATGGCTTGTAAGCTCTATATCCCCAGTGATGGCTTGTAAGCTCTATATCCCCAGTGATGGCTTGTAAGCTCTATATCCCCAGTGATGGCTTGTAAGCTCTATATCCCAGTGATGGCTTGTAAGCTCTATATCCCCAGTGATGGCTTGTAAGCTCTATATCCCCAGTGATGGCTTGTAAGCTCCATATCCCCAGTGATGGTTTGTAAGCTCCATATCCCCAGTGATGACTTGTAAGCTCCATATCCCCAGTGATGGCTTGTAAGCTCTATATCCCCAGTGATGGCTTGTAAGCTCTATATCCCCAGTGATGGCTTGTAAGCTCTATATCCCCAGTGATGGCTTGTAAGCTCTATATCCCCAGTGATGGCTTGTAAGCTCTATATCCCCAGTGATGGCTTGTAAGCTCCATATCCCCAGTGATGGCTTGTAAGCTCCATATCCCCAGTGATGGCTTGTAAGCTCCATATCCCCAGTGATGGCTTGTAAGCTCTATATCCCCAGTGATGGCTTGTAAGCTCCATATCCCCAGTGATGGCTTGTAAGCTCTATATCCCCAGTGATGGCTTGTAAGCTCTATATCCCCAGTGATGGCTTGTAAGCTCTATATCCCCAGTGATGGCTTGTAAGCTCTATATCCCCAGTGATGGCTTGTAAGCTCTATATCCCCAGTGATGGTTTGTAAGCTCTATATCCCCAGTGATGGCTTTGTAAGCTCTATATCCCCAGTGATGGCTTGTAAGCTCTATATCCCCAGTGATGGCTTGTAAGCTCTATATCCCCAGTGATGGCTTGTAAGCTCCATATCCCCAGTGATGGCTTGTAAGCTCCATATCCCCAGTGATGGTTTGTAAGCTCCATATCCCCAGTGATGGCTCTTGTCCCCAGTGATGTAAGCTCTATATCCCCAGTGATGGCTTGTAAGCTCTATATCCCCAGTGATGGCTTGTAAGCTCCATATCCCCAGTGATGGCTTGTAAGCTCTATATCCCCAGTGATGGCTTGTAAGCTCTATATCCCCAGTGATGGCTTGTAAGCTCTATATCCCCAGTGATGGCTTGTAAGCTCCATATCCCCAGTGATGGCTTGTAAGCTCCATATGCTCTATATCCTAGTGATGGTTTGTAAGCTCCATAGTGATGGTTTGTAAGCTCTATATCCCCAGTGTTGGATTGTAACCTTCATATCCCCGGTGATAGTTTGTGAGCTGCAAGGACGATGGTAAATAACTCTTTCAGTTAGTATTACTACATTACTAGTCATCAAGCTGTAGCTGCAAGGACGATGGTGTAGAGCTCTTTCAGTTAGTATTACTATATTACTAGTCATCAAGGTGTAGCTGCAAGGCCGATGGTGTGGAGCTCTTTCAGTTAGCATTACTATATTACTAGTCGACAAGCTGTAGCTGCAAGGACGATGGTGTAGAGCTCTTTCAGTTAGTATTACTATATTACTAGTCATCAAGGTGTAGCTGCAAGGCCGATGGCGTGGAGCTCTTTCAGTTAGCATTACTGTATTACTAGTCGACAAGCTGTAGCTGCAAGGACGATGGTGTAGAACTCTTTCAGTTAGTAGTACTATATTACTAGTCATCAAGCTGTAGCTGCAAGGACGATGGTGTGGAACTCTTTCAGTTAGTATTACTATATTACTAGTCGACAAGCTGTAACTGCAAGGACGATGGTGTGGAACTCTTTCAGTTAGTATTACTATATTACTGGTCGACAAGCTGTAGCTGCGAGGACGATGGTGTGGAGCTCTTTCAGTTAGTATTAGTATATTACTAGTCCATAAGCTGTAGCTGCAGGGACGATGGTGTAGAGCTCTTTGAGTTAGTATTACTATATTACTAGTCATTAAGCTGTAGCTGCAAGGACGATGGTGTGGAACTCGTTTAGTTAGTATTTTCACATTACTAGTCATCAAGCTGTAGCTGCAAGGATGATGGTGTGGAGCTCTTTCAGTTAGCATTACTATATTACTAGTCGACAAGCTGTAGCTGCGAGGACGATGGTGTGGAGCTCTTTCAGTTAGTATTATCACATTACTAGTCATCAAGCTCCATATCCCCAGTGATGACTTGTAAGCTATATATCCCCAGTGATGGCTTGTAAGCTCTATATCCCCAGTGATGACTTGTAAGCTATATATCCCCAGTGATGGCTTGTAAGCTCTATATCCCCAGTCATAACTTGTAAGCTCCATATCCCCAGTGATGACCTGTTAGCTCTATATCCCCAATGATGGCTTGTAAGCTCTGTATCCCCAGTGATGGCTTGTAAGCTCTATATGCCCAGTGATGACTTGTAAGCTCTATATCCCCAGTGATGACTTGTAAGCTCTATATCCCCAGTGATGACTTGTAAACTCTATATCCCCAGTGATGGTTTGTAAGCTCCATATCCCCAGTGATGGCTTGTAAGCTCTATATCCCCAGTGATGACTTGTAAGCTCTATATCCCCAGTGATGACTTGTAAACTCTATATCCCCAGTGATGGCTTGTAAGCTCCATATCCCCAGTGATGGTTTGTAAGCTCTATATCCCCAGTGTTGGATTGTAACCTTCATATCCCCAGTGATGGCTTGTAAGCTCTATATCCCCAGTGATGGCTTGTAAGCTCTATATCCCCAGTGATGGTTTGTAAGCTCCATATCCCTATTGATGGCTTGTAAGCTCCATATCCCCAGTGATGGTTTGTAAGCTCCATATCCCCAGTGATGGTTTGTAAACTCTATATCCCCAGTGATGGCTTGTAAGCTCTATATCCCCAGTGATGGCTTGTAAGCTCCATATCCCCAGTGATGGCTTGTAAGCTCTATATCCCCAGTGATGGCTTGTAAGCTCTATATCCCCAGTGATGGCTTGTAAGCTCTATATCCCCATTGATGACTTGTAAGCTCCAAATCCCCAGTGATGCCTTGTAAGCTCCATATCCCCATTGATGACTTGTAAACTCTATATCCCTAGTGATGGTTTGTAAGCTCCATATCCCCAGTGATGGTTTCTAAGCTCTATATCCCCAGTGTTGGATTTTAACCTTCATATCCCCGGTGATGGTTTGTGAGCTGCAAGGACGATGGTAAATAACTCTTTCAGTTAGTATTACTACATTACTAGTCATCAAGCTGTAGCTGCAAGGACGATGGTGTAGAACTCTTTCAGTTAGTATTACTATATTACAAGTCATCAAGCTGTAGCTGCANTATTACTATAGGCCGATGGTGTGGAGCTCTTTCAGTTAGTATTACTATATTACTAGTCGAAAAGCTGTAGCTGCAAAGAAGATGGTGTGGAGCTCTTTCAGTTAGTATTACTATATTACTAGTCGACAAGCTGTAGCTGCGAGGGCGATGGTGTGGAGCTCTTTCAGTTAGTATTACTACATCACCACGTTTATATTATTCAAGTGCAAGAGAGACTCTAACACCTCACGAAATTTACGCTGAGTATCTGTTTTGCTATTTTTAGCATTGAAGACGCAGCACATTCTCACAAGAGCGTACATAAAGCCATGCCAGCAAACAGATTACTATGGGACTCGTTATATGCTGAAGAAATTTGTAGGAAATCCTCGAGTGGAGGAGAGTAGGCAAATTGATTGAACACATGATCACTTATCCATACATTAGTACCACGCCACTATTTACTGATGTGGGAGTGGGGTGGGGTGGGTGGGTGTAGTACAGTGCGAGCGTTATAGCGAGGATGTGTAGTCATCTGGTGATGTAGGTAGGAATGCCGAGATCTGGCAGGTATGGAAAGGTAGGATGTAGGCGTGTAATGGTGGCCTGCCTCATTCAACACCAGAGTAGCTTTACACATACCGCAACCAGAACACTAGTGTGACCAGCCTTTTAAACGATTTGATAAATTATAAAAAACTTCACCAGGAAACGTACTCTACTTTTGCAAGTGCGCGTTAAAGCCATGGTGCGCTTTCAGTATCAATTTTGTACACACTTCTCCACCCCCAACTCTCCCCACCGTTTATAATAATTTACCTACACTTATATTCTCTCAGCATGCAACGTCCATTCGTGTTATCGGGGTCAACTATGCGGTGAGATAACCTGGTATTGTTTTAACATCCTTAAAGGTCAACATGTGAGAAATGGTCCCTCGCCAGCACTGACAGTCAGCAGGAGGATCCAGGTACAAGCTTCTCTGAGGTACCACGACTGACGAACACCGGCTTGCGCTACCTCCGCCACACAGACGTAAGGTGTGCTCAGCACTCAACGGTTTTAGGCTAGTCAGTACCTTGCCATCACACGTGTTTGTACATCATATGGAACAAGAACTGTCTAGAATGTCTGCCTTTGTTGCCAGCCACAGTCATGGGTCACGACATGCATGTAATGCAATTTGATGTCAAAAGCAAACAGTTCGCCTATTAAAGATTGGTTTACTCTTGAAAATACATCAAAGGCATGTAAGAAACACAGCATGAGTAATGAATCCACCAAATGTTCAACGCTTATCACTAATGAATGTGAGAGTCCCAGACCTTCCAGGCTAGTCAGATACCGGCATTCACTTTGTTCCCAACTTCCCAACCACACGCTAACTCGGCAGAGTATAACGGCAGATAACCAACATTCACTGTCAAGCTTTTTATTTCCTGTCAAAATTCAGCAACTGCTGCCTCACTGCATTGGGTCTATTATTTTCCAGACATGTCCGGGATCACTCGCCATGAACTGTGCTGAAACTCGAGCCGGAGGGCATGATTAACTGGTAACTTCAGTAAGATTTCTGTGACGTAACCCCAGCCGCCTGCCTGGGGTTATGACTGCAGCTGGCACGTGACCCAGCAGTGACCACACATGTATGACCAGCTGGATGCTCTCATCCTTCCAACTGAGGGGAAGTCTCTGATACCCATGACGTCATCAGACATAACCCTTGACTTGGCTGTCTACTTAATCTCATTGAGTACATGTATATGCATGTAAACTCGTGCGTTGTGAAATCATATTAGAGCATCGCCCGTATTGCCTGATCTACTACTGTATCCTATAGATAAGATTAGGTTTGTGCCATGTGGATCTGTGACATATAGACTATACCGCCTAATAGTACAATCACTTGGTTGTGCGGTTGATGTAAGCCCTGGCCAGGTATTTCCATCACCCGACGAACAATTAACATGGCTGCCAGCGCTCAACTTGCATCCGCGAATAATCTGGCGCCTATGGGCAAGTCTGAGTAAGTCTAGGTGCGGGTGAGAACTGAAATTCAAAATGGCCTGACTGCCAAGTTGAAACACAAATGGAGAAGATCTTATGTTTACTTGATTTCAGTATAGATTGAAGGTGTTCGGCTCTGGCACAAGTGCCCGTGTCTTACCATGGTGGTGACGTCACTGAATACCTTCCTGTGGAAACTTCCTTCGTAGAACATGATGTTTACGTGATGTTTTGAAAACTTCAAAACTTCTATGCAGATCAGTTCTCTTATCTGTAACAATGAGAGATCTGAAGATAGGAAGTGCATCAGTGTAAAATGGGTATTCACACACGTGCCTTGTTTTTCTGAAAAGATGCTCTCCATGTGTCCCATCAAATATCTTCCTATATCCCCATCACACGCACACACGCACGCACACACACGTGGTTCATAACAACCCGCACACTGACCACCTTCACACCTTTTATGTATACTACTATGCGTGCTGCTTCCAGTTGTAGCTGCACATCAGGAATCTCTGCACGACCCATGAACTTAAAGCCAACCCAAGATGGGTGTAATACACAGCTTCAGAGCGTGTTCATGCCGAGACAGATGAACTATACCAATCACCTAGTGAGCAACGATACCTTCCATTGTGAGGTGTACTTAGTCGTCTGGCTCGGGTTTCATTCAAAGACTTATCTCGGTACATCTGCGGTTCTTGTGCACATGTGGTTCATTACAGTGGTCGATGCACATCAGAAGATATGTCTGTTTGTAGACATACCAGGGGGTTTGTAGACATACCAGGGGGTTTGTAGACATACCAGGGGGTTTGTAGACATACCAGGGGTTTGTAGACAAGGTTTGTAGACATCGTAACCTATCAACTCATCAATAACATCGTAACTAATCAACCATAACTCAAATAACTGAGCCCTGAGTATACAAGAAATAAAGTGAATAGGAGGGCCGATTAAGGTTTTGTTGAGCAATAGTCATTTGAAAAGTCGATCATCATACAGTTTACGGATCCGGCCCCTGACTTCAAAAAGATCACAATGGCTGTAGAACATGTGGAACTTACCGATGGTAACAGATACACTATGATCAAAACGCCTAAACCTGCTACAAATGAGTAAACTACGTTGACACATGATTGAATACGCGAGGCTTCAGGAAGAGTGTGTTACACTAGTTTGATACTTATATATTCAAACACTATTCAAATGTTTTGAGGCCGCTGGGATCTTATAGAAAAGATCATTTGTCGTTTTTCGTTTGTAGGCATTACCTAAACATATTTATGCCTCAAACTGTAACGCCATAAAAGCATTGTTGCAAGATGTTACCAAAAATATTGACGCTGTTGGATGTAATAAGAAACATCCTTGTTTGGCAACTCCAAGGTAGAAACACATTCTAGTCCTCAATACGGAAACGCCTGTAGAAAGGTAACAGTGAGGCAGCAGCCTGTAGTGTGGAACGGTCAGGTAACTGTAAGGGCAGCCTGTAGTGTGGAACAGTCAGGTAACTGTAAGTCAGCCAGCAGTGTGGAACAGTCAGGTAACTGTAAGGTAGCCTGTAGTGTGTGAAACAGTCAGGTAACTGTACAGGCAACCTGTGGAAACAGTCAGGAACAGCCCCAGGTGGAAACAGCCAGGTAACTGTGGGGTCCCCCTGTAGGGGTGGAACAGCCAGGTAACTGTAAGGCAGCCTGTAGTGTGGAATCAGTCAGGTAACTGTAAGTCAGCCTGTAGGGTGAAACAGTCAGGTAACTGTGAGGCAGCCTGTAGTGTGGAACAGCCAGGTAACCAAAAGGCAGCCCAGTGTGGAACAGTCAGGTAACTGTAAGGCAGACTGTAAAACAGCCAGTAACTGTGGGGCAACTCGGTGGGAAATTAGCCAGGCGCAAACTGGGTCCCCTGTAGTGGGTGGAACAGTCAGGTAACTGTGGGGCAGACTGTAGTGGGAACAGCCAGGTAAACTGTGAGGCAGCCTGTAGGGTGGAAACAGCTTCAGGTAACAAGCAGCCTGTAGTGTGGAACAACAGCCAGGGCAACTGTGGGCAGACTGTAGGGTGGAACAGTCAGGTAACTGTGAAGCAGACCGTAGGGTGGAACAGTCAGGTAACTGTGGAAGCAGACTGTAGTGTGGAACAGCCAGGTAAATGTAAGGCAGCCTTGTAGTGTGGAACAGTCAGGCAACTGTGAAGGTAGCCTGTAGTGGAACAGGTCAGGCAACTGTGAAGCAGCCTGTAGGGTGGAACAGTCAGGCAACTGTGAGGCAGCCTGTAGGTGGAACAGTCAGGTAACTGTAAGGCAGCCTGTAGGGTGGAAACAGTCAGGTAACTGTGAGGTCCCCTGTAGGGGAAACAGCCAGGCAAACTGTAAGCAGCCTGTAGTGTGGGAACAGTCAGGTAACTGTGGGGAAGCAGCCTGTAGGGTGGAACAGTCAGGCAAATGTGAAGCAGCCTGTAGGGTGGAACAGTCAGGTAACTGTGGGGCAGCCTGTAGGTGGAACAGTCAGGCAAACTGTGAAGGCAGCCTGTAGGGGTGGAAACAGTCAGGTAACTGTGAGGCAGACTGTAGTGTGGGACAGTCAGGCAACTGTGGGGCAGACTGTAGGGTGGAACAGTCAGGTAACCAGTGGGCAGACCAGTGTGGACACAGCCAGGCAACTGTGTGGAACAGCCTGTGTGGGCAGGAACTGTAGGGTGGAAATAACCGTGTGGGCAGACTGTAGTGTGGACAGCCAGTAACTGCCACAGTAGCCTGTAGGGTGGAACAGTCAGGTAACTGTGAGGCAGACTGTAGTGTGGAACAGTCAGGTAAATGTGAAGCAGACTGTGGGTGGAACAGTCAGGTCTGTGGGGTCAAGAACCCGTAGGGTGGAACAGTCAGTAACCGTGGCAAGACTGTAGTGTGGAAACAACCCCTGCCGTGGCAGTGGAAACAGTCAGGTAACTGGGCCGCAGCCCGTAGTGTGGAAAGTCACAGCCGCAACCTGTAGGGTGGAACAGTCAGGTAACTGGAGGTGGAACAACCTGTAGGGTGGAACAGGCAGGTCCTGTGAAGCAGCAACCCTGTAGGGGTGGAACAATCAGGTAAGGCAACCAGTAGGATGGAAGTCAAGATAACTGTAAGGTAGCCTGTAGGTGGAAACAATCAGGGTGGGCAGACTGTAGTGTGGAACAGCCAGGTAACTGTGGACAGCCAGTGGTGGGTGGAACAGCTCAGGTAACCGTGACAGCTTGTAGGGTGGAACCAGGAAAACTGTAAGGCAGACTGTAGTGGGAAAATCAGGCAAAATGTGTAGAGCTCAGTAGGGAGGAACAGTCAGACCAGTGTGAATTGTGGACTGTAGGGTGGAACAGTCAGGTATTGTGTAATGGAAAATCGTAGCGTGGAACAGTCAGGTAATCCGTGGGCAGACTGTAGCGTGGAACAGTCAGGTAACCGTCAGGCAGCCTGTAGTGTGGAACAGTCAGGTAACCAGGGCCGCAAATGTAGGGTGGAATAAGTCAGGTAACTGTGGGGCAGCAAACATGGTAGGGTGGAACAGTCAGGTCCTGTGAGGCAACATGTAGGGGTGGAACAGTCAGGGTGAGGCAGCAATGTAGGTTAGCACAGTCAGTGGGTGTGGGGCCGTGAACCTGTAGTGGAAAGTCAGGTAACTGTGGGGCAGCAACCTGTAGGGTGGAACAGTCAGGTACCTGTGGGGCTGCAACCTGTAGGGTGGAACAGCTCAGGTAACTGTGGGGCCGCAACCTGTAGGGGTGGAATAGCCGGGTAACTGTGGGGCAGCCGGAACATGTAGGGTGGAAATAACCAGGTCGAAGAAGCAGCAACCAGGGTGGAACAGTCAGGCAAAATGTGGAAGCAGACCTGTAGGGGTGGAATAGTTGGTGGAACAGCCAGAACCTGATCAGAAGAACTGAACAGGTAACGTGGTGGAAAAATCAATGGAATGGAAATGAAGTCAGGTAACCCAGGGAACGAACCCAACGAACCCAGTGGAACGAACCGGCCGGAACCCAGGGTGGAAACGCCAACATGGCAAAATACGGGGTGGAAATGAAGCTGAACGGTGGAAACAGCCAACTGGGGTCAACCCGTGGAAAGCCAGGACCCAGGTGGAACATCCCCAGACAACCCAGGAATGAATAACGAAACAGTGGAACAGCCAGGAATTGGCCAGGCCCACGGAAGCAGACTGGTGGAACGGAGCCAGGAATGTGGAACCCAACCCAGGAATAACTGAAGAACCCAGGAATGAAATAACATGGAACAATCCCTGTGGAAATAACCCGGAGGAACAGCCCGGAACCCCAGGAACACGGAAACGACCCAGGGTCGCGAAATAACGGAAGAACCCAGAACCCAGGGCCGCAACCCATGGAACGAACACGAACCCGTGGAATGAAGGACCCAGTGGAACAGGCCATGGAAATAACCCATAACGAACCCGTGGAATAACGAACAGACCAGTCCCCGGAAATAACCCGTGGAACAGCCGAACCCAGGAACAGCCAACCCGTGGAAACGCTGGAATAGCTGGCCGGAACCCGAAGAACCCGGGATCGCAGCCAGACCCATCCGGAACCGTCAACCGGAACGAACCCAGGAACAAAACGAACGAACAGACGAACCCAGGGTGGAAACACAGGAACCCAACGGGTGGAACAACCCAGGGTGGAACGACCCAGCCACGGAGGAAACGACCCAGGACCAACCCAGGAACAACTGAAACGGACAGCAGCCCAGTGCAACAGCCAGAATCGGAGGACGCAACCAGTGGAACGCCAGGACCCGGAAGAGGTGGAACGGAGGAACAGGTGGAACAGCCGGAACACGCATGGAAGAGTCAGGTCCAGGAGGCAGCAACCGTGGAAAGCCGGAACCCAGGAACGAATAACCCAGGATCGTGCACGGCCAGGACCGGGTGGAAACAGGTGCCCAACCGGAATCCCATAACCGGTGGAACAGGCAAGCCAGGGGTGGAAATCCAGGTAACTGGAGGCAGCCCGTGGAGGAACGGACCAGCCCCAGGCAACCGTGAGGCAGCCCAGTAGGAACGGACCCATAACCAGGAGGTGGAAGGTAGCCCAGTGGAAATCAGCCGAAGGACCACAGGAGGCAAAAGCCCAGGAACAACTGTGGGCAGCCCGTAGGAACAACAATGTAGACCCGAAGTGGAACAATGAAGGCAGCCCAGGTGGAACGGAATCCGTGGAATCACTGTGGAACAGTGGAACACCAGGAGGCACGCCCTGTAGGTGGAATGGAATCCGTGGAGGCAGCCCCAGGAAACAACCCCAGTGGAAACAGCCGAACGACCAGGCCCGTGGTGGAACGACCATGTAACTGTGGAGGCAGCCCAGGGAGGAGGAACTGTGGTGAAACAACCGTGAACCCAGGTGGAACAGACCAAACCCAGAGGCAGCCCAGTGTGAAACGACCAGGCCGGAACCAGCCGTAACCAGGAACACACCAGGTGGAACAGCCACCGTGGAACAGCCAACTGTGGGGCGGACCAGGAAACGAACAACCCAGACTGGAACAACCAGGACAGCCCCAGCCCATCAACGAATAACCAGGCAGCCCTGTGGAACACAGGGCAACCCAGTGGAACGGCCAACCCCTGTGGAATGAAGAACCAGTGGAAACAGTGGAACAGACCAGTGGAACCACAGGATGTCCCCTGTAGGGTGGAAAGCCAGGGTGGAAATAACCCAGGAGGGTGGCCCAGGACCCAGTGGAAACAGTGGAAACACAACCGTGGAAACAGCCCAGGAACTGTGGCGGAACCCAGTGGAACAAACCGGTGGAGGCCCAGGAACAGCCCCAGTGTGGAACAGCCAGAATCAGTGGAAACAAATAACCGTGGGGCAGATCGTGGTGGAATGGCATGGAATCAACCGGAGGCAAAGGGTGGAATGAACAAAATAACTGTATGGAAACAGTGGAATGGAAGAAGACTGAAGGTGGAACAGCCGGACCCGTGGAATGGAAAACTGGGGCAGAACAGTGGAATGAACCAGCCCAGTGGAACAGTCAGGGAATCAGGGGTGGAATGGAACCAGGACCCAGGGTGGAACAGCCCTGGTCCCCAGGAAGCAGACCTGGAATCCAGGGTGGAACCCGGTGGAATGGAAGGGCAGAATCTGCGTGGAATCCCCAGGAGGCAATAACCCAGGAAGCCAGGAAGCCGCAACCCAGGTGGAATCCCAGGAAGATGTGGTGGAATGGAAATGGAATGGAACTGGAATCCCAAACCGCAACCCAGTGGAATGGAATCAGGAAAAATGGTGGAAATGAACAGCCCCAGGAGGAGATGGAATGGATGAAATGAAATCAGGGTGAATGAACTGGGGTGGAATAGCCGAAGACTGGTAATGGTGGAATGAATAGAATCAGGTGGATCAGGTGGACAGGGGGAACAGTGGAATGCCCAGTGTGGAGCCAGGTAACCATGGGTGGAAATAGCCCAGGAACTGGGGAAGTGAACATCGTGGGTGGAAATGGAAGGAGGTGGAAGAACTGTGGTTGGAATGAAGGAACAGGGGCCGAGGACAGAACGATCCAGGGTGGAACGAAATCGGTCCAAACCCAGAACCCAGGTGGAACAGTCAGGTAACCAGGTGGAACCCAGGTGGAACAGTCAACGTGCGGGACCGGAACGAGCCATGGAACGAACCAGGAACGTGGAATAGCCGAATAACCAGGTGGACCGCCGGCAACGTGGAAACCCAGTGGAAAGCCGGAATAACCCGGAGGAAATGGAATCCAGTCCCGGAATCGAACCCGGTGGAACTGGAAGGAACAGCTGGAACCGACCCGAACCCAGGAAGAACCCAGGAACAACGGACCGGACGTAACGGAAAGACCGGAACCCTGGCCGAAGAACGTGAAAATCCAGGACCGGAACCCAGGAAACGGCCAGAACCCGCAACCCAGGGAACAGCCAAATCAACCCGAACATATCCCCCAGGGTGGAAACGGACCCCGTGGACAACCCGGGTGGAACCCAGGTAACCGTGGAACAGCCGACCCAGTAACCCATGGAACAGTCAACCCCAGCCGCAACCCAGGGTGGAACAGTCAACGGAAAAATGGAACAAAGAACATGGACGAACCCAGGGAACCGGGAAGAACCCAGGTGGAATGCACCCAGGGCCGCAACCTGTAGTGGAACAAGACCGGCTGGAATGGAATCAGGAATCAGGAATGAAGGAATCAGCCCAGGTGAAAGCCTGTGGTGGAATGGAATCACAAATCCCAGGTGAAGCCCCGGGTAGCAACCCGGTGGTGGAAGCCCATGGAATGGAATTGTGGAATGAAGGAATTGGAAATGGTGGAATGGAAGAATCAGGGTGAAGTGGAATGGAAGTCAGCGGAAGGAAATGGTGGAATGAAGGACCATAACCCCGTGGAACAGCCCAGGAACTGTGGGAATAACCCGGAACAAATAACCGGTGGAACAGCAACCAGTGGAAACGAACGGACCCAGCCCGGTGGAAGGACCGACCCGGGTGAACCCGGAAGAACAGAATACAGCCAGAACCCGGTGGAACAGTGGAACGAAATAACCCAGGAACGTGGAACTTTAGGTGGAATAACCAGGGAACGAAGAACCGGTGACCCAATAACCTGTGGTGGAAACAGCAACCTGGGGCAACGTAGGGCAACGAACCCGTGGAACAGAATCAGTGAACCCAGTGGAACGGACCCAGAACGTAACCCGTGGAAATAGAATGGAACCGAACTGTGGTAGCCCGGAATAAGGAACGAGCCGGAAATGATCGAGGGGAACAGTAGGTGGAAACCTGGAGAACGGTGGAGGCAGCCCAGGGTGGAATAACCTGTAACCGGTGGAAACATCCAGGTAACCCAGGAACAGCAACCCGCGTAGCCCAGGGTGGAACGCCGTAACCCCAGTGGAACCGAACGGCCAGACGCCAGGAACAACGAACCCCAGGTGGGAACGGCACAGGAAACGATCCCAGCAACCAGTGGAAGGGACAAACAACTCAGCCGCATAACCGTGGAACAGTCCAGACCGAAACGCCGAACCCAGGACATACCCAGTCCGCAACCCAGGAACACAACCCGGTGCCGAAAGGAACAACCCAGGAATCCCAGGACCCAGGGAACAACCAGTGGCCGCAACCCAGGGTGGAACAACCAGGCCGCAGGTGGAAACAGCCAGGAAACACGTGGAACCCAGGGTGGCCAGAACGGAAGGAATCAGTCAGCCCGGTATGAACGAACAGGCAACAGCCCAGGAACGACAACCCAGTGGAACATGGAACGACCGGGTGGAACGAATCCAACCAGAGGCAGCCGAACGGAACCCAGGAACAGCCCGAGGAACGGCAGCCCAGTGGAAACAAATAGGCGGCAGACCCAGGTGGAACCGGAACCCAGGTAACCGGGTGGAGTCAGCCCAGGTGAGGCAACGCCAGGAAGGCAGCCCAGGTGGAACAACTGAACTGTGGAGCTGCCAGTGGAACAGCCAGGACCGGAAGGACCGTGGAACAGCCCAGGACGAGCCCAGGCAGGGTGGAACAGCCATGGAGGCAGCCCAGTGGAACACCCCAGGAATTGTGGAAGCAGCCGTGGAACAAAACGGAGGCAGCCCCAGGAACAGGAAGCACAATCCCGTGTGGAACAGCCCCAGGAAATGAAATGGAATAGGAATGGACAGCCCAGTGGAACAGGAAACCAACCCAGGCAACGGAAGCCCAGGGTGGAACGAAGAAGGAACCCAGGGTGGAACAACAGCAACGTCCGGAGGTGGCCCAGTGGAATGAAATAACTGAACCAGGAGGTGGAACAGCCCAGGTAACTCCAGAGGCAGACCAGGTGTGGAACGAGCCAATCCAACTGTAAAGCCGGAGGAACAGTGGAACGAAACCAGAGGTGGAACAGGAAGAAAATCTGGAATGGAACAACTGAGAAGGCAGATGTAGTGGAAATCAGGCCGTGGAAGGTAGCCCCAGTGGAAAGCCGGAATCTGGGAGGTGGAAGGAAGTGGAATGGAGGCAACCCAGTGGAACATGGAATCAGCCAGAAATGAAAGAATGGAATGGAAGCCCTGGAACATGGAATGGAAATCCCAGTGGAATGGAATGGAATCTGTGGAATCAGCCCAGTGGAATGGAATCAGGAGGTGGAATGGAATAACTTAGTGGAAATGTCAGGCAGTGGAAATAGAACAGAAATGGAAATGAAACAACATGAGGGTAGCCTAGTGGAACAGAATTTACAGGGAAATGTGGAATGGTGGAATGGAATAGGAATCCAGGTAGTGGAATGGAAAGAATAGTGGAATGGAACTGTGGAATGCCCAGTGGAATGGAACCCAGGAACTCAGGCCCAGTGGAATGGAATGGAAGGAAGGAACAACGAAGGACCGTGGAACCAAACGGAAGAACGGGGACAGGAAGGAACCGAAAGAAGACCGGTGGATCGGAAAACGAGGCGGAATGAACCCAGGAACGAAAGCCGGGAACAACGAACCCAAAATGGAAACAACCCAGCAACCCAGCCCGAAGAACCCCAGGACCGGGAACCAGGCAACTGTGGACGCAACCCGGAACACCAGACCCAGGGTGGAACAGTCAACCCCAGGAAGACAGAATCAACCCAGTGGAAAGGCAACCCAGGCCGCAACCCGGACGAACAGCCAGGAAGAACCGGACCAACCCAGTGGAAGAATGCACCAGGAGGACCCAGGGAATAACGGCCACCAGCCATCCCAGGACAGGAACAACCCAGTGGTGAACATGGAAGGAGCAAAAAATAGCCAGGACCGGGTGGAACGGGCCGCAACCAGGTGGAATGAATAACGTGGAAATGGAACGAAATCAGGAAGACCAGTGGAAGGCAGGACCAGTGGAAACAGAATGTAGGGGTGGAAACAACCAGCCCAGGAGGAAGCCATGGGGTGGACCCTGTGGAATGGAATGGAATGTGGAACGAATGGTGGAATGGAATGGAAACTGTGGAAAGAATCTGTGGAATGAACCGGATCGGAATGGAAGGAATCGGGGGAATAAATTGGAAATGAAATGGAATGGTGGAAATAGGAATGGAATGGAAGGGTGGAGGAATGGGAACATGGAATAAAATACGAATCACGGTGGAATGGACCCAATGGAATGGAATGGAAGGATCCCAGGAATGGAACCCAGACTGTGGAACGAATAGCCCCAGGAACAAACAGCCGAACAAACAACCAGGAAACAACCCAGGGTGGAACGAAACCCGAACCGGTGAACAACCGGAACTGAACCAGGAACGACCGGGTGGAAACAGAACGAGGAATAACCGGAAACCGGAACGCCGGAACGCCGGAAATCAAACAGTCAACCGACCCAGGGTGGACCCCAGCCGAACTGGTGGAATAACGACCGGACCCCACCAGGAACGGTGGAATGGACCAACCGAAATGGAATGGAATGGAACGTAACCCAGGAGCAAACGAAATAATCCGGAAACCATGGAACAGTCAGGCAACGGAAGGAACCCCAGCAGTGGAACAGCCAGACCGGACGGAGGCAACCCAGGTGGAAGGGTCGGAACGCCAGCCAGGACCGGAACCGGAGCCCAGGAAATAACCGCGGACCAGGTGGAACAACCAGGTAACCGGAGGCAGTCCGGCCAGTGGAACAGGTGGAGCCCGGTAGGGTGGAAACACCAAAATCCAGGAAACAACCCACCGTGGAACGCCGGACCAGGACCAACCCAGCGGAAGAACCCACGAAGCGGTGAAACCGGAACCCAGGTGGAACAGCCGAACACCAGCAGGCCCAGGAATGGAACCCAGGCAGAACCCAGGGTGGAAACAGCCGTAACCAGGCCGCAACCCAGGTGGAACGGACAACCGTGGAGGCAGAATAGGGTGGAAGAACCCAGTGGAACAGCCCAGGCAACCCAGATAACCCAGGCAACGCACAGGAATGGAACAGCCCAGGACCCATGGAACAGTCCCCAGGACACCGGAAGCCCAGGGTGGAAAACGAATAACCGCAACCCAGGTGGAACAGCCAGGAAGACCCAGTGGAACGAACAGGTAACCAGGCCGAACCAGGTGGAACAGGTGGAACAACGGACCCAGCCGCAGCCCAGTGGAACGGAACGAGACCCAAGGACAGCCCAGAACAACCCAGGAGGCCCAGGGAACAGCCAACCAGTGGAACCCAGGGTGGAACGAATCAGGCAGCCCAGGAACGGAACCAACCATGGAGGCAGCCCTGTGGTGGAACAGTCAACCCAGCAACCTGTGGAACAGGACCGAACATGGAGGCAGCCCAGGGTGGAATCGGAATCCCAGGTGGAGCCCAGGAAACGAACAACTGTAGCCCCAGGAAAGGACCCAGCCAACCCAGGAACACCGGACCCCAGGCCCAGTGGAATAACCCCAATCAGCCCAGGTGGAACGGCCAAGAATCAGGAGGCAGCCCAGTGGAAGTGGAACTGGGTCCCCAGTGGAACCAGGCCAACCCAGGAACGGAACAGGACCCCAGGAACAGCCACCATCAGCCCAGGGAACGGGACAACAGGAATGACCAGGAATCCAGTGGAAACCCCATGGAATCCCGTGGAACAGACCCCAGGGGTGGAACATCAATCCAGGCCCAGGTGGAAACCCAGGGTCCCAGGCAGATCCCAGTGGAACACACCCAGGAGGCAACCCAGCAGTGGAACAACAGAACTGTGGAGGCAGCCCAGTGGAAACAGGCCAGTGGAATCAGTGGCAGCCCAGGACCCCAACATCCCAGGAATGGACAAGAACAGTGGAAACAGAACAGGAAGGTGGAACCCAATGGCCCAGGAACCCACTGAATGGCCAACCCAGGAAATGGAACAGGCCGACCCCAGGATGGAATGAATGAATAGAATCCTTGAATCATTTGAAGAAATGGAATGGAATGGTGGAATGGGACCCAGGGAGGACCCAGTGGAATGAACAACTGGAAGTGCACCCAGTGGACAATGGAATGGTGGAATGAATGGCTCAGGAGGGGGCGTGGAAGGAATCTGAAGGAATGGAATGGTAGGGTGGAACAATCAGGTAACTGTGAGGCAGACTGTAGTGTGGAACGGTTAGGTAAGTGTGAGGAGCCTGTAGGGTGGAACAATCAGGTAACTAGTAGGTAGCCTGTAGTGTGGAACAGTCAGGTAACTGTAAGGCAGCCTGTAGGGTGGAACAATCATGTAACTGTGAGTCAGCCTGTAGGGTGGAACAGTCAGAACACTGTGAGGCAGACTGTAGGGTGGAACAATCATGTAACTGTGAGGCAGACTGTAGGGTGGAACAGTCAGGTAACTGTGAGGCCGACCTGTAGGGTGGAACAATCAGGTAACTGTGAGGCAGACTGTAGGGTGGAACAATCAGGTAACTGTGAGGCAGACCTGTAGGGTGGAACAGTCAGGTAACTGTGAGGCAGCCTGTAGGGTGGAACAATCAGGTAACTGTAAGGCAGCCTGTAGGGTGGAACAGTCAGGTAACTGTGAGGCAGCCTGTAGTGTGGAACAGTCAGAACAGGTAACTGTGAGGCAGACTGCCTGTCAGGTAACTGTGAGGCAGCCTGTAGGGTGGAACAGTCAGGTAACTGTAAGGCAGCCTGTAGTGTGGAACAGTCAGGTAACTGTGAGGTAGCCTGTAGGGTGGAACAGCCAGGTAACTGTAAGGTAGCCTGTAGTGTGGAACAGTCAGGTAACTGTAAGGTAGCCTGTAGTGTGGAACAGTCAGGTAACTGTAAGGTAGCCTGTAGTGTGGAACAGTCAGGTAACTGTGGGACAGAAGGTAGCCTGTAGTGGAACTCAGGTACTGTAAAGGTAGCCTGTAGTGTGGAACAGTCAGGTAACTGTAAGGTAGCCTGTAGTGTGGAACAGTCAGGTAACTGTAAGGTAGCCTGTAGGGTGGAACAGTCAGGTAACTGTGGGACAGCAACCTGTAGGGTGGAACAGTCAGGTAACTGTGGGACAGCAACCTGTAGGGTGGAACAGTCAGGTATCTTGTGAGTCCGCAAGCTGTAGGGTGGAACAGTCGGGTCCTTGTGAGGCAGCAACCTGTAGGGTGGAACAGTCGGGTATCTTGTGAGTCAGCAAGCTGTAGGTGGAACAGTCAGGTACCTGTGGGGCCGCAACCTGTAGGGTGGAACAGTCGGGTCCTTGTGAGGCAGCAACCTGTAGGGTGGAACAATCATGTACCTGTGGGGCCGCAACCTGTAGGGTGGAACAGTCGGGTACCTGTGGGGCAGCAACCTGTAGGGTGGAACAGTCGGGTCCTTGTGAGGCAGCAACCTGTAGGGTGGAACAGTCAGGTACCTGTGGGGCAGCAACCTGTAGGGTGGAACAGTCAGGTACCTGTGGGGCAGCAACCTGTAGGGTGGAACAGTCCTTGTGAGGCAGCCTGTGGGGCAGCAACCTGTAGGCAGTGGAACAGTCGGGTCCTTGTGAGGCAGCAACCTGTAGGGTGGAACAGTCGGTCCTTGTGAGGCAGCAACCTGTAGGGTGGAACAGTCAGGTACCTGTAAGGCAGCAACCTGTAGGGTGGAACAGTCAGGGTCCTTGTGAGGCAGCAACCTGTAGGGTGGAACAGTCAGGTAACTGTGAGGCAGCAACCTGTAGGGTGGAACAGTCAGGTCCTTGTGAGGCAGCAACCTGTAGGGTGGAACAGTCAGGTCATTGTGAGGCAGCAACCTGTAGGGTGGAACAGTCAGGTCCTTGTGAGGCAGCAACCTGTAGGGTGGAACAGTCAGGTAACTGTGGGGCAGCAACCTGTAGGGTGGAACAGTCAGGTACCTGTGGGGCCGCAACCTGTAGGGTGGAACAGTAGGGTCCTTGTGAGGCAGCAACCTGTAGGGTGGAACAGTCAGGTACCTGTGGGGCCGCAACCTGTAGGGTGGAACAGTCGGGTCCTTGTGAGGCAGCAACCTGTAGGGTGGAACAGTCAGGTACCTGTGGGGCCGCAACCTGTAGGGTGGAACAGTCAGGTCCTTGTGAGGCAGCAACCTGTAGGGTGGAACAGTCGGGTCCTTGTGAGGCAGCAACCTGTAGGGTGGAACAGTCAGGTACCTGTGGGGCCGCAACCTGTAGAGTGGAACAGTCAGGTCCTTGTGAGGCAGCAACCTGTAGGGTGGAACAGTCAGGTACCTGTGGGGGCTGCAACCTGTAGGGTGGAACAGTCAGGTCCTTGTGAGGCAGCAACCTGTAGGGTGGAACAGTCGGGTCCTTGTGAGGCAGCAACCTGTAGATGACCAAGCACACTGCCCCCTCACTACAACACCCCAGCTGTGTATAACATCATAACCACCCGACCCTGCCCCTCACTACGACATCCTAACACCAACACCACCGACACTGCCCGCTCACTACGACATCCCAACACCAACACCACACGCAGCATGGATCTTTCCCCCCGAATGCCGAGTCGTAACGTCGCAGCAGGACAATGCCCGCCCACATGTTTTGTAACAGGCTTTTTGAGACAGCATTACATTGCTGAACTGCACTGGCAGGCTGTTTGCCCAGACGTCTCCACTATAAAACATGCTTGGGAATAGGACCAAAGCCAGCCTGTAATGCTAACCAATATCTGGTGACATTTGGAATAACATCTCCTCCTCTATGTTCGATCATGTCGACAGAAATGACGACATTGACCGTCTTGAGGACGTCCTCAAAGAGGGGCGGTGTTACAGCCGAATTAAGACGTGTAATTATGCGAATTTGTTATGATAAAGACACTGATCTGGACAAATGGCCCAATACTAAGTTGTTATATTCAGTAACATTATACATTGTGACCACTTTATATGAAGCACAGTTAAATAAGTAACTATAACTGTTGCCCACTGTACACAATAGCAGGTTCCAGCACATCCTCTTTACCCGATGAAAGATGTTTGTAGATGCTTTGAGATCCCGGTGAGGAAAATATTCCCGCTCTCAAGCACCTTGTAACTTATACCACACAACACAACAAAAATATACAATTCTGATTTATACTACAAAAGGGGGAAATTAACAAACTTATACGCATTATGTCCAAAGTACGTGAAGATGTCCAATTACTATTTTAACTCTGACACATCAAACACGTCTTCGGCATATAGTGGTACGGCACTGTCGACAAGTGTTTAGATCACTAGTTCGATCACAAGTTAGATTTACCACAGGGATATCATCGATGTATGATTGCAATGTCGGAATCTGGTATGACATTATTATAGTCATGGCCATATTTCTTTTGTTTATCCGTATGATCCACTAAATATACGTGGATGTTGTATTCAGGGCATATTACAAGGCGTCCTCGTCGCAGTGTGACTGAAGGACTGGGCGAATGGGAAGTTACACACTAAGTTCCGACTATATATGAGCACGATAACCCCGATCTGTGAGGGTATGTCGGTGGCACAACCCTCGTGTGACTGAAGGACTGGGCGAATGGGAGTTACACACTAAGTTCCGACTATATATGAGCACGATAACCCCGATCTGTGAGGGTATGTCGGTGGCACACTAACCCTCGTGTGACTGAAGGACTGGGCGAATGGGAGTTACACACTAAGTTCCGACTATATATGAGCACGATAACCCCGATCTGTGAGGGTATGTCGGTGGCACAACCCTCGTGTGACTGAAGGACTGGGCGAATGGGAGTTACACACTAAGTTCCGACTATATATGAGCACGATAACCCCGATCTGTGAGGGTATGTCGGTGGCACAACCCTCGTGTGACTGAAGGACTGGGCGAATGGGAGTTACACACTAAGTTCCGACTATATATGAGCACGATAACCCCGATCTGTGAGGGTATGTCGGTGGCACAACCCTCGTGTGACTGAAGGACTGGGCGAATGAGAGTTACACACTAAGTTCCGACTATATATGAGCACGATAACCCCGATCTGTGAGGGTATGTCGGTGGCACAACCCTCGTGTGACTGAACTTACCCTGCCACCCACCTCTATAACCTAGAAAACACGAGTGCGAATGAGTGCGTCAGTGAAAGAGTATGGTTTTAAGCTATTTATAGCAATATTCATCCTGAAACCATCAAAAATGGGCTCCACACATTGTACCCATGTTAGGAATGGAACCCGGGTTCTCGGCGTGACCTATCAAAAGACGGGTGTAGAAGTTGCACCTGCTTTCACATTAAGGTCTTCTTCTGTTCATATCATTTTTCACATTGAATGTCTCGAGTATTTGTTTGTTTGTTTGTTGGTTGTTTTGTTTTTTGGGGGGTTGTTTAGGCTGAACACGAAATGTCATTATTAATAGGAAGTTACAAAGATGGAGTTTGAGAAAATGTATATAGTTCATGCCGTTTCAATGATATATATAGCAGTGCAAAGTTCATTATGTACTATAGGTAGTTAGTCATTATGTCTGAGACATAAGTTCATTATGTACTATAGGTAGTTAGTCATTATGTCTGAGACTGATATCAAGTGTATATCACCAGTCAGATTTACGTCCTGGATATCATCGATGTCTGAGACAAATATTAAGTGTAGATCATTAGACAGCTATACCTCCCGGATATTATCGATGTCTTAGACAAATATTAAGTGTAGATCATTAGACAGCTGTACCTCCCGGATATCATGGATGTCTGAGACCAATATTAAGTGTAGATCATTAGACAGCTATACCTCCTGGATATCATCGATGTCTGAGACCAATATTAAGTGTAGATCATTAGACAGCTATACTTCTCGGATATCATCGATGTCTGAGACCAATATTAAGTGTAGATCATTAAACAGCTATACCTCCTGGATATCATCGATGTCTGAGACAAATATTAAGTGTAGATCAGTAGACAGCTATACCTCCCGGATATCATCGATGTCTGAGACCAATATTAAG